GTGGTTTCTCAAGGCTAAACATGTCCAGTTCTTTCACTCTTTCCTCGTAAGGCTTGGCTTCCAGTCTCCTGAACATCCATGCTGCCCTCCTCTGAACTTGCTCCAGTTTGTTGGCATCCCTCTTAAAGTGTGGTGTCCGGAACTTAATATACCCCAAAATAGCATTTTTTTTCTTTTGCAGCCACATCACACTATTGGCTCGACCAGTGCTGGATAGAGAGGGTGACTAGTACTTCTGTTAATATACCCAAAAATAGCATTTTTTTACTTTTGCAGCCACATCACACTGTTGGCTCATATTCAGCTTGTGATCTACAACAGTTCCAAGATAATCACTTCTAGTATTACAAAAATTATAACTATGCATTTGGTTTCTGTTTCCTAGGTGTAGAACTTTCCACTTATCCCAGTTAAATTTCATTCTGTTGTTTTCTGCCCAGTGCTCAAGTCTATCCAGACCTTTTTGAATTTCGCTCTTGTCTTCCTAGGTATTAGCTGTTCCACTCAATTTTGTGTCATCTATAAATTTGATAAGTATCATCCAAGTGATACCCCTTATCCAAGTCATTAATAAAAATCTTTCTATTTAACAGAACACTATTTAGCTTAGAAGTGCTCTCCACAAGCATGTCATAGTTGTGATTGGTGGGAGGGGGCAATTGGTCTGTGATACAGCATAGGCTTTCTCTATAAAGTGGAGCTAGGAGAGACATAATAGATGGACCAGTTGTCTGATTCTGCGTAAGGCAACATCCTACATTGCTAATAGCGGTAGATGTTTCTGATTATCTCTGAAAACGTGCTTTGTTTGGGGGCAGCTTAGTGTGGAGAAGACAGGGAGTGTATGGAATGTATCACCCCATGTTAGCGTTGAGACTGAGACTGATGAACACTGGTTCCTGTTGATGTGTGGAGAAATAAGAGTAGGGATTGTGCAATAGTAGCGCCACCTGTTGGGGAAGAGTGGCCATGTTGATTGGGGTGCTTGGCATTGTTGTTTTGTGCCATCTAGTCAATTCTGACTTACGGCAACCCTTTCCAGGGTTTTCTAGGTAGAAAGGACTCACGTGGTTCACCATTCCCTTCTGCTGAGGGCATGCTGGGACTGGGCGGCTTGCCTAAGGCTTCACAGGTTGGCTCTTTTGGGATGCACAGTGGGGAACTGAACTCACCGCCTTTGATTCTGTAGCCAGTATCTAACTTACTGTGCTGTTGAACTAGCCGCATGACATTATAAGAAGGGAAAAGGAAGTGTCAGGATTTAAATGGAAGAGAAACCATTTCTTTGTTACTGCTGTATTACAGAGACAGTTCACATAAAGAGGTGTGCTGAGAGGACCCAGATAAACTTGTAGAGTGACTCCTGTGTGGCTGAAGACTATTATTTTGTTCACAATGCAAATAGACCAGAAACAGCCTCTCGCACTGCTTATGCATCTATGTGTTGCATGTTCGACGGTTGGTGTGCTTGTCTTAGGAATCCCCAAGCCCCAAAGAATGAAGCTGTCCCATGGTTGGCTTTCTCACCAAAAGGTTCAGCTACGTTAGCAAAGCTCCTGCTCCCCTTGAAATGGAAGCTTCAAGACTTGTAGCAGCCTGCAACCATGTCTTGTGACCTACGCAGCAGATTTGGTATTGTGTATGTTAGCGAGGAGTGTAGGAGAATGGAGAAACAAAATAGGCACATCCTGAATCAGGAGGTCTGATGGATTAACTGGGTGCTCAAATTCACATCCTACATGAGATGATCTTATTGAGGCTCACCTAAACCCAAACTTGGGAGTATATTTCATTGTTGTGGTTCCTTCCAGCCAGCTGAGGAATACTCTCTCTTAATGGCCTCTTTGCATCTTGGACGACCCTTCTATTAGGGACAGGAACAACTGTAGGCTGGGGGAGGACGCACAAGGCCTTTGTCTGTCTTTTTGTTGTATCCACCTTTTTCCCCTCATCCTTTATTTTGCTTTTGTTTCCCCCCCTCTTCCTAAACTAGATCAAACTTTTTTAAAAATAAAGGACAAAAAATGTACACTGAAAAGCACTAACAAAGCCTGATTATGTAACCTCTGTGCAGATGCAGCATGGACTTCTTCTCCCCCCTTCCAGGCGCTTTGGGTTGACGCAAGCAGCTATTCCAATATCAAAACCTCTCCTTCTCCTGCCCCTCATAAAATCCTTTCAGAGAGCTAAACCAATCCTTTAAACTAAAACAACAGAAACAACCTCTCCTTTCCCTTCCCCACCCACCCCATCCTATCTCCCCATCACCCTCCCTGCTTCTTTCCTCAACTCCACCTACTCCACCCCCCCCCCCCCCCCGATCCTGGATAATGCCAGTATTTGTTCTGTGTTATAAGTGCCAAGAAAAATTTTGTGACTCCCTCATCCCTGTGACCTGAGAGTATCAAGAATTGCACATTAACTACTGTAAAGATTAAAATAAAAAAGGAATTCAGAAATGTTAATAAAAAAAGTTTGTAACAATTGTGTCCCTGGTTATTTCCTTTGTAATCTTGATTATTCTCAGTCATCATGAAACAGCCTTAAGACATGTCCAGAATGGCATATAGCTCACGATTTGGGTCACATTTGATGCTGTTTGGTCTGAATCAGATTGCAGTGTCCACGTTTTGACTTAGAGCAATCCATCCTGCCCTTTTTGGCACAGCTCAAGGGCTACAGGGGTTTTTGGTACAACTTGGAGCATTCCATATTGTCCCATTCTGTTGCTTGTGTGGTTAGTCCGCACCCAAATAGAGCTGTGGGTGGTGTTATCTGAGGTGGTAGCTCTGTGATGTATTAGGTGGGTTGTGGTACTGGAAGGGATGACACATCACACACACACAGAGACAAAATTTTCATCTATTCTATGATTTTAATTGTTTTAAATATATTTTCCTGTTGATGCAGCACTATTGGAGGAAAATGAGATACGTTGGCAGTATCGTGTATACCATGCTGGATAACTGAATTGCTGTTCTAAGTCATGTACTTTAACAACCAAAAAAAGTTGTGGCAGCCTGTTGAACGAATGACGGCTGCAGGAAAAGGCAGGGAAGGGTAGTGTCATTAATCGAAAAGGAGGACAAATTGAAGCGATTCAAAGACCCATCTGGACCTGTCTCACAGGAGAGAAAAAACATTCATCAGTGTGAATAGAAAGATTGCTCAAATGAGAGAGAAAATAGATCACACTAAATATGAGAACCCTTTAGGTGCGAAACAAACCACTCCAAATCCCCCCATCTGGGCATGTTCTTACTCAAGACAGCTGATAGGTTCACTTGAAGCAGGACTTTTAAGCGTTGGAAGTGTTGCAGGACGTCTGTGTTAAGAAACAGCTTCCAAACCGTGTTGCGCCACTGTACAGAACACATACAACTGAAGTACATTCTTACTGGTTCACAGCATTTCATGTTACATTTCAATGTGTTATGCTCTTTAGCCTAGCCTTCAAAGCTTTCCTCAGTGATTCAGCATTTTTTCACCCAAAATATTTGTCAAAATCAGACATTTCTTCAGCTTGTGTCCTCCTCCTGCTGGGAGACTCTTTGATCTAGTGTAAACTTCCATCCGCAGACCAGGAAGAAAAGGTGTTTTTGGCATGTTCTTCTCCTGCTCCTATGTGAAATGTATTCTTGAGGATTGCCGGGGGGGGGGGGGACTTCAGAACAGCATGGGAGAATTGCCCAAAAGGAGATTGAATGAGGGAAAGAGGAAATTGCCAAAATATCCCTTACCCTTCCCAGCTCACAAAAGCTGCTGGTGACTCAGTCTGCCATCATCAGATGGGCTACAAGCCTTTGTTTTCTAAAGTTGATTGAATTGTACCTTTGCTGAGTACCTGCAAATCTTCGTACTTCAGGTGAGTCCAATCGAACAGAGTGAGACGTCTCTCTTGAGTAAACCAAAGTTTGGACCATAAATTATGGAGGGGAAAACCCTGGACTTGATTCCTTAGAGAGGAGACATGAGTGTAGTTTGCACTGCCATGAGTGATGGAGGGTCATGGTGGAATTACTCCTCTGAGTTCCAGATAGACTTTAATGTACACCTGAAAATGTTTAAGTCCAACCATGAATCCAACATAAGTGATTTGTAGGGGTAAGATCCATTGCATCATTAATCTAAGAAATTGGTTTTTAACAGTACTGCCTAGCCACAATGGCGAAATGTAACTAATACATTCCAAAGCACTTACCGTTAGCTACTGAGAATGGCCAGTAATTTCATTTTTAAGTATATATGATCACATTCCCCCATCACTTCCAGCAATAAATCCCAGAACAAAGAAATGCATTAAGTATAAAATCTTTACTGCATAGACATATAGTTAGCATGTTAAGTATAAAATCTTCATTATATCTATACAAAAGTATTTAGAAGAGTTGTTTTGGCATCTAATAATAAGAGTGGAGAGGGGCATGATTTACAGAACAGTGGCAAGGATTTCTGTCTCAAGGTCATATAAAAATATACAAACTGATTTATTTCATACACATACCTGAGTCCCAGTTGCTCACCAGATTACACTGCTGAATCGAGGTAAAAACCTGCTGTGATCTGGAATGGGTTTTTTTTGCAGGTGGATTGGTAGCATTGTTCAGTTTTGTTATCCAAACAAATTCCAGCACTCAGATTTCTTTGGCTTAAATCTAGTTTGCAGTCCCAACGGAAAATGACTAAATGGTAAGTCAGTACTTAGATACATCTCATGGTTCAGTGGGTACACTGATTAGGACTATCAGTTGGCTTCAAGCTTTCAGTTCTAAGCATAGACCTTTTCCACCAAACTCTAGATCAGGATGGACAATTTAATCAGTCCAAGGACACATTTTGTCACCCTACAACTAGTAAGCAATGTCTTCCACTTCTCAAAATTGGAAATGACTAGATTCTCAATTCTGATGCTGTGGGGTTTGGGGAAGCAGCACGCGTAAAGCACGCTGAACAAGGACAGAAAATCCATGCCCCTTCAGATGCTGTTGGATTGCCTCTCTCTTGGCTATACTGCCGAGGAACTATGGGTGTTACAGTCCAAAAACATCTGTAGAGCTGTTTTCCCCTGCATGCAGTAAAGCAAGGTCCCTGTGCCTTCCTTTGGAGAGGGACTGCTACTAAGCAATTCTGCTTTTTGACAGGATGGCTTAGAGGTGATGGGTCATGGTCCTCAAAAAATGGGCAACAGGCCATACATTGCCCACCCTGGGGCAGCTGGTGGATTTGAGGTTTCAATAAAAACAAGAAGAACCTACAAGCATGTGAACCTTGTCTCCCTGCCCCTGCTTTATAATACTCTACAGTATAATCAGAATGGCTTCCAAGTGCATACAATAGCTGAGCTGTTCTACAGCCACCTCTCGTGTTCACACAAGGCTGTGAGCCTCACTTTGGTCGCGGACCGAAAAAAGTTGGGGACTGCTGCTCTACAGTATAATCAGAATGGCTTCCAAGTGCATACAATAGCTGAGCTGTTCTACAGCCACCTCTCGTGTTCACACAAGGCTGTGAGCCTCACTTTGGACACAAGTGACAGTAACATCTTTCTTTAAGCACTGGCAGAGTTTGGTTGGCAAAGCCGTAGACCCCACATGAGGTGGGGATTGATGTGGTGTGTTCACAAATTTGCAAGCCCTATGCAGCAGCCCCAAAATACCAGCGCCATTTGAATCCTGAAGCACACTGCAGAGGCCTCTCTTTGGATTATGGGATTCTCAAGTTTTGCTCCTAGATTCTGGAGAGTTGCTCACATCTGGTTCCTTTGGGAACTCTTCCCAGGTTCATTGAACAACATGAATTTCTTGATGAGGCAGCTTAGCACAATCAGCAGTCTCAGCCCATAGTAATTCCATTCCTGAAGAAGCAAAATAGACCTCTCCAGTTCACACCCCTCTGGTAACAGCTGAGATGATTAAGGTCCCAGGATGTAAATATTATAGTATCTAGTTTATTCCAAATTAGAAGCCTGATGTGTTTCAGCTTAGCCTTTTTCAAGGGCATGAATAGTACATTTCTTAGTTCTGTTTAGGAAAGACTCTTTGTTTGTTAGGTCGGAGTCCAGTTCCCTTTGAATGACTCACTTTTATATCCTAGGACCTTTGTCTCTTCCTGCCTAATAGCTTTGGTGGAGGTACCAGTTCCTTTTCGTTACTGGCTGAGATTTATTTATTTTTCCTATCTGGTCATTGTGACTCACAACCAACAGCTTAGTCAATTTGTGGTCGACCAGCAGACACATTTAAAAGGAAACCAACTTGCTCCCATTTGCAGAGTCAGTATGAAGAATAGGGACCCTTCCAGCAATGAGATTACTCAGCAGGGATAGTGTGGGGAGTCTTATCCCACCCCCCAGGCCAGGCTATAGACAAACTTCATCCCTCTAAAGATTGAACTGCATCTCCCATCAGCACTATCCACCAGATCCCATAGTGTGTGTTTGGCAACTGCAATCCAACAATGCAGAGCTGCACTTTGGCCACTCCTGTCCCAGGCTTTTAGCAACGGGAGGAAACGCCTGCTCTGGAAAGCAGACTTGCCTTTATGTTTCTGCTTGCAGTGTTGGTAACAAAGAACACAAGCAAAGGCACAGACAACGGTGAGTACTTTTCATCCCAGTATCCATAGTCAAAAGTTCAAAAGGGAATTCTGCAGCTTCTCCACTGTAAAAACTAGTAACGTCTGGAATCCTGTTCTTCCTTTTCCCAGATCTGCAGCTTCTGGCAGGTCATGCAAGAGAAAACAGTCCAGATAAAATCCAAAGTCTCTTCCACAGAACCAACTTCGTCTCTTATCCCATCATCCTCTTCACTCCTCTCCTGTGCAAGATCCAAGGCTATAGCGGCAGTGGTTCCGGACATTCCACTTGGCCAGGAATGGCATGCCTGACCTTTCCCTCCATCTGTTCTGCCATTTGATCAGTGAGCAAAGAGCAGAATCAGTGCCACCACAACAATGATGAGCAACAGGCCAATGATGCACCACTGACGCCGTCCTGATGGGAGACAAAGCACAGGGAGGGGGAAATGGAATAAACAGTAAGACCAGGCCAGGTCAGAAATCCACCATCCCTCCCACTCTGGGGAGCAGGCAAAGGGAAACAAAGGTTCCTGCTTGGGGGAAAAAAAACAGACACAATCTTAGGTGTTTAGGGTAGAATGCCAGCCATACTCCAATCACCAGGTCACACGAATTGTAGCCATGTGCTGCACAACTGGGAAGTAATGAAGCTCAGACGTTCCCAGAAATTTTAAATTGAAACCCTCCAAAATAAGGCAAACAGGAGTAAATTACATATAACTTTTTACTCTTGATGGCAACAGAGGCACAACAAAGTTGCATTTCGAAAGTACAGGAAAGTGAAAAACAGGATCAAAGTTACTTCACTGCTGTAATGAATAACGTTTTTCTAGCAGCTCTCAAAAGTTACTTTGAAAGAGCAATTTTAGGGGCATATCGACAGGAATTTTTCAAATTGCCAGTACAGCTGATGCAAGCCAACAACACCTGAGAGCCACACATTCTCCTTCCTGGTACACAGGCAAGGAATTTAAGGAAAGCTGGGGATGCCTTATCACATACTGGAATGGAGCTGAGGGTCTGGCAGGTTGAAGATTAAGAGGAACGTGGGGACTGCCCATTTTCCCCCATGCCTAGCCAGGCCCATAGGATGATGAAGCACCATCTCTTACCACTGCCCACGTGGGAGACTTTGGTCATCTTCTTTAACACTCCTTCCATGCGGCTGTGAGTATCGTCCATCTCGTGGGCAAAGTCTTCTAGCATTCTAGAAAAATCAGCGAAGGCTTTTGTCAACTCAGGCAGCAGCTGACCGCGGGTCATCCTGCTCCCGTTCAGAATTTTTGGTGCCCAGCCCCCTGCCCTGAATTGCATCCCAAAATATGGAGATGCACAGCAGCCCCAGGGAACTTGGTTCAGGTCGTTGTGGTTGCTTCACAAGCTTCTCTCCCTTCAGGATTTATGCCAGGTCTGTCCACCACACCCACCCCGGCTACGGCTACCTGAACTCACACAGACTGTTCATCCAGCTCCTCTCCGACCCGCCCTGACATGTGTTTCAGCACCCGGATGCTACCAGAGACCAGCTCCAGCTGCTCATCCTGCTCCTCTATGATTAACTGTTGGGCAAAAGGATCAGATAAGACAGTCACTGGAAAAAAAATTACACCAAAGAACAACAACAACAAAAAAAGGAAGCGAATTCAAAGCAGCAGGGGGAGCCTAAGATTCTTTACAGCCTGAGGCAGAGCAGGGAATGTCATCCCACACTCACAAGACCTTGGACATAACACTAGCCTTAAAATTGTTCCTTTTGTGTTAAGCGAGAGGAATGTATTTAATCTTAAGAAAATTATGTTTTGAAAGTTCATTTTGTTTGACGTGTTACTTTTAAAATGCTGTTCTCTGGCTGTTCTCACCCATTCATTTAGCCTCCTGTTTAGCATGAAAGCAATGAATTTTACCTTAACACGTTAATTTTATGTGGGTTCCCCCCCCCCCAAGGAACACAGTAGCCAAAGCCAGACGAGTTAGATTGGCTCGTGATGGGACAGGAAATTCTATATGAATACCTCTTTTTTGCATCAGGCAGTAAAAATACAACAATAACCACCATTTGCCCTCTTTTCATGGTGCCCAAAATCAGTTACCAGAAGCACTTTGCTGAACAGCAGGGCTGGCACCACAAAGCAGTCCAGACGAGGAGCAACGAGGGTGTTCCTGCTCAAGGCACAAGCGCATAAGCCAGAGTTTGGAAACACTACCTGGGGATTCTGAGAACTGAACTCGAAAACATAACTTTTCGAACTTTAAATATACCCACAGTATTTGGCTGATCTTGGCACTGGCCTTCAAGGAAAGGTGTGTATACATGACTACAGTCTGGGAGATAATTACTAGTATTGTATTGTTGATGAGCTTCAAACACATACCAGTGTCCACCTCTGAGGCCAAAACAACCTACAAAGGTAACCTTGAGAAAACTGAAACAAATCAGCATTTCCGATAATGTCTCTTCGTGAAAGCCAGCACTCTGAAATCTTGACTACTGTTACATTTTCGAAGGATCCAGCACTTGAACAACAAATCTTCTCTTATTTCACCCAGAAGAAAGTCTGTTTTGAGCACAAAGTGCCCTTTATGGCCTTGGCTACTGGCTCAGAATATCAAATAGCTGTTTGGTAGGAGAAGCAGTTCTTTAAGAGGACTACCAATATCCCCATTTGGCTGGTGAGGAACTGGGGCTGAGGCCCGGAACATGCAGGAGACTGGATCTGAACCCAGACTTCCAGTCAGAAAGGAAGCCTGAAGCACCCTTCATTCGGTCTGGGGCCAGCCCAAGACATGATGGTGTCTGAGTCAATGAACAAGCCATCTCCCTGCTTCACACACAAACAAATTGGACTGGAACTTGAATTCTGCATCAAACATTGCAAGAAACCGTTGCCTTCCATCCCCCTGGAGGGGGGGGTAGCAGGCTGGTTTGCAGAATGCAGGATAGCTCACATGGCAGACACAGCTCTGTCCTTTCCCAGAGAGGAACGGCCAGGGGGATCAGTGAAAAACACCTTAGGGACTGCTCCTTAGGTCACCAGCATCCGTCACTTAAGGCAAGAGCCCCACTTTACCTAATAGCAGGGCAGACACTACTAGGGTGGAAAGCAATTGTTTCTTGCCAGACTGATCCCAGAATTTTCCCTCTTCCCATGTGGAGCTCTTAGCTGGAGAAGGATTAAGGAGACACAGTGAGGTAGGTGCCAGTGCTTGTAATGGCCCGAACGTTTTCACAATACAGGGAAAAAGGAGAGAGCACTCTTAGCATGTGGAAGTAATGACCTGAATTGGCTTGTTCTCAACTAGGTGAAGATGCTGTCCATATTCTCACCTTCTGGTGCAACTGTTGCTGTTCCAAAGTGTGTGAGTTGGGTGTGGACAACTTCTCTACACCCAATAGCTCAAAGTGATCCCTGTCCCCCATCAGTGCCTGCAGAGAAAAAGGAGGAAAAAACTGTAAGCAAGCCAGGACTCAGAAAGTCTTGGAGAAATCTGCAGCAAAGGCCCTAGCTCAGCAATGGCGCAAAGTAGGTAGAAGAACCAAGAAGGCCTTACTTATGATGTAAGAGCAGGAACTCTATTCATTACAATCTAGAATTAAACTATGATTATAAATGTAATACAGTGGTGCCCCGCAATACCACGGCCCCGCAGTATGATAAAACTGCAGTACGATGACTTTTTTGCGATCGCTATAGCGATCGCAAAATGATGGTTCCTATGGGGAAATCCGCTTCACAATGATTAGGTCCTTGCTTTGCGAACTGTTTGTTCACAAAACGACGGTTTTTCCAACTCCGCAAAATGGCTTCCCTGCGCAAAATGGCTGGCTTTCCTTCGCAAAATGGGTGTTTTCCAGACAGAAGCTTCGCAAGACAGCAATTTAAAACAGCTGATCAGTGGTTCTCTATGGGCGATCTTCGCTGGACGACTAGGTATTTTCCCATTGGAATGCATTCAATGCATTCCAATGGGGATTTTTTTTCGCATTGCGATGATTTCGCTGTACAGTGATTTTCCTGAAATGGATTATCGTCGTCATGCGGGGCACCACTGTATAGAAGCGGAACTGACTCTTATCATGATGTGTTTTTAAATCAACCTCTTTATTTATCTGACACATTTCTTCACTGCCTTTCAAGACTAGTCTCCCCATGTTGGCTTACAATATAGTGTATGTAGTTCAATATTGGTGAAAGCTGTTAATGTAAAGTCAATAAGCACTGTTTTACTGAATTTTGTATTTGGTTTTCATCTTTTTCTTCTGATGTCCAAAGTTTTGGGAAAAATATTTTGAGAAGTGGCCTAAAGCACAGATGGGAGGAAGGAAGGATGGAAGTCAATCACTGGGACGGACGAAGCATTTTTCCTCAGAGAAAGTGTGGCAGACACACATGGCCTTTCTTCTCTTGTCGGATTGCAGTCCCATCAAGACCTAGTCGTCACAGCCAATGGTGAGAAATAATGGGAACTGTGATACAATGTCTGGACTGAAGGACCACATTGTGCCTGCTGTCCTGATGTTGTTCTGTGTTGTCAAAGCATTTTCAATTTATGGGAACCCTAACAGGGTTTTTGGAGTATGTGAGATGTTCAAGATGTAGTCCACCATTGCCATCACAGTCCAGTGAATGAACATGGCCAAACCTGGCTTTGAACCTGGGGCTTCTGATTCCTCGTCTGACACTCTGCCCGCTACACACCATGCTGTTTCGCCCTAGCCATTGCCAAGTTACATTTTCCCCATTTCAGGCACTACATCCAACAAAATGCTGAGATGAGATGGGGATGGTAGAGTACGCTTACCTCTCGGTTCTTCCTGTTTATTAAGGCCTGTGCTGCTGGACTGGCTATATGATCTCTCATTTCCTAAAGACAAGAAAGGGAATCAGCAAGAAACTATAACCAGTAAAATATAACCAGTAAGGAGAATGAAGAGAAATGAGTGAAAAACTGAGAGATAGACATCACTGTAGATTACTTGCAAGCATACATGTAAAAACTATGGGAAAATCCAGTTCCACCCAAGTTTCAGTCACTTGATTTCTTTTCTTTACATCTAGAAAAAGATTTCCAGATTCTTTACTCATGACTACAGCATATCTGAGCTGTGATATAATCTAGAACTCCCTGGCTCCAGTCTTCTTTGCAACTAATGCTTATCAACCTTTTTGATATTCAAGGAGATGCACACCATCCCTTACTCTTTCTAAAACAGTGGTTCCTAACCTTGGGTTACTCGGGTGTTTTTGGACTGCAATTCCCCAGAAGTCTTCACCACCAACTGGTGCTGACCAGGATTTCTGGGCATTGCAGTTCAAGAACACCTGGGTTACCCAAGATTAGGAACCAATGTTCTAGCAGAACAAACCATCCTTCATTTTTCATAATGCCTCCCAATCTTCACTCAACCATTCTGTCTGATTCTGTGCATGCCATGATGGAACCTAAAGGACTCACCTTAACTGATTCCCGCATCTCTGTGATGAAAGAACGCCGTGTCGCCACCTCAGATAACTCAATTCTGAACTTGTGTGGATTTGATTCCACAATGCGTGTTTACAGGTTAAGTGCAAAAACCTTTGAGTTATGGGATTCTGAACCCAGAGGGAGTGGCTATAAAATATTACATGAACATAGCTGGAATTTAATTTAGCAACTGCTCTAGCTTGGGGTGGGCCACTTGTGGCCCTCCAGATGTTGTTGAACGCCAATCCCCCTCCTCCATCACCATTGGCTACGTTGGCTAGGGCTGATGGGAGCCCTCCAGATATTGCAGTCCAGCAATGTCTGGAGGGCCACAACTGTCCATCCATGCTCCAAATGCAGCAGGAGATCCCTGTTAATTCTGCCTTCCATTTGTAGCAAAGAGTTTCTCTAAGGTGCCGTGTGGGAACCATTGCCTGCCACTGTAATCCTAGCAGCAGGCAGCATGTTTATAACATAGTGCTACAGCATTATCTAGGGAGACACCCCCTGGCACTGCTCCAATCTCCCCACCACCACCACCCCCTCTACAGGATATAAATGGTTTCCTCCAGGTCCTCCAAGTCCCAATCAATACTGCGCAAGCTGTTCCGTAGTTCATTTGTCGTCCAGTCAAACTCTTCTTTACTGATGATGTGAGACTCCTCAAGCAGTTGGCACCAGCGGTTATAGAGCCCATGCGCCGTATTCACGGCTTTCTGAACTTCCCTGTGGAGAACAAGGACAAGTTACAAGGATGAAATAGAACAGGGACTGAGACGGCCGACTCTTCTCTGTCTTCAGCTGGTTAAAAAACCAAGAACCATCAAACCAGATGGAATACACAAGCCTCATCATACTTTAGATTACCAGATGCTTGACATCTCTTCTGGGCAAGCGACAAGCACAACAGATTGACTGAATGTTTGGTTAATCTCCATACCTAAAGTGCAGGCTGTATTCAGAGGAACAGATCACAAGCTCCTATCTGACTGAAGTCTGTCCTAAAACAACTTTTCCTACTTGAAGGCACTGAGGAAAGCATTTCTGTATTAACAGTTATTCCATTCTAGCAGAGCTGACATGTAGATATTCATCACCATGAGGTATTTGTGCAGCACAGGGAAACGGATGGTTGAATCCAAAAGTAAATGGATGTGTGGCTGGGCCAGTGGAGCTTTAACCTGAATTTTCCAAGTCCTGTTCCAATGCTCTAACCATGCGGATATCACTTATACAGTGATAGACAATTACCCCGCAAAACGGGTAATCGACAGGATGATGACGTTTTGCGATCGCTATAACGATTCGCAAAACGGTTTTTCCTATGGAGGATTTCGCTGGACGATGATTTGGTCCATGCTTCGCAGATTGTTTTTCGCAAGACGACAATTTTTACAGCTGATCAGTGCTTCCGTTTTTCGCAAGATAGCGATTTTACAGCTGATCGGTGCTTCGCAAAATGGCTTCCCTATAGGCGATTTTCGCTGTATGATGACGATTTTTGCCCATTGGAATGGATTAAATGGATTTCAATGCATTCCAATGGGGAAACGCTTTTCGCAAGACAATGTTTTCGCAAAACAGCGATTTCAATGGAACGAATTAACATCGTCTTGCGGGGCACCACTGTATCTAGAATTAATCATATTTGGGGGCCTAGCAGTTAATTTTCACATAAACAAATAAAATTTAAAAGCCTGGTACCTTGAAGCTTCCTCCTCTGATCCATAATTTATTTCTTTCAACTGTCTGTATGCACACACTATTTGTTCTTTGATAAAATGGAAAGGGTTATTAAATCAGTGAATCAGACCAGGGCTGTAGAATACATCATCATCATCATCATAATCCCTCAAATCAATTTTGATTTATGGTTACCCTTTCCAGGGTTTTTTAGACAGAGAATACTCAGAAGTGCTTTACCCTTCCCTTCTTCTAGGAGCACACTGGGACTGTGCAGCTTGCCCAAGGTCACACAGGCTGGCTCTGCTCACAGTGGGGAATCAAACTCCCAACTTCTGGCTCTATAGCCAGATACCTAAGCCACTAAGTTGTCCAGAGGTGGAATATATCACCATTAAAATGGCTAAACTGAAGAACAAATGGATGTATGTGGGGGTGAAAGACAGGCAGAGACCTTTTTCAGCTCAACTGCAGTGGATTTGAAGAAAGTAAGAAACTGGAGTTCAGATGTCCTCTGTGGATGGTGACTAGTAAAATCGAGCTGGCATTCCATAAGGTTGGCCTACTGAAAACAGGAGAGACCCGCCACCCACCATGGACCAGGGGGAAAGAGCAGAGGACCCCAGCGGGACTTCTGCCACCCAGTATGCTAATAGGTTTCCAATAAGAGACTGATATTTGATCAAAGCATCTTTTCCCGGCTTAGGGAATGCATTTAGTCCCAGAGGTCATCTGGCAAGAGGCAGCTAGAGGCACCTGAGGCTTCTGGGGTCAGCTCTGCAGTTGCTTGGAGTCAGGAATTTAGCACAGTGCTTCAGAAATTGGGATAATTTATAGTTACAAAACATGTTTCTGTTTTTGGAAATCTTCCTTGTATAGCTTAAACTACCATCTATTTCCCAGGTATCATAAGGATTATTACATTTATGTGTTACATTTTTTTCATTGTGCACTGCTCTGGTATCTCCAGGACTAAGCAGTCTATGTGTTCTGTGCCAACAAGTTGGAACTGACCTATGGCGACCCTAACAGATATTTTAGGGTGAGATATTTAAGGAGGTCCACTCCCCCAGTGAGTTTCCATAGATGAGCAGGGTTTTGAACCCTGTTCTCCAGAATCCTAACCTGCTATTCTGCACCACCACTCTACACCACCAAAGAAAGCTGACCGCTGAAGAATTGCTGCTTTTGAATTGTGGTGCTGAAGGAGGCTCTTGAGAGCCCCCTGGACTGCAAGGAGAACAAACCTATCAATTCTAACGGAAATCAACCCTGAGTGCTCACTGGAAGGACAGATCCTGAAGCTGAGGCTCCATTACTTTGGCCATCTCATGAGAAGAGAAGACTCCCTGGAAAAGACCTTGATGTTGGGAAAGTGTGAGGGCAAGAGGAGAAGGGGATGACAGAGGATGAGATGGTTGGACAGTGTCAAAGAAGCTGCCAACATGAATTTGACCAAACTCAGGGAGGCAGTGGAAGTCAGGAGGGCCTGGCGTGCTCTGGTCCATGGGGTCATGAAGAGTACGACTAAACACCACCACCACCACAATGGAAAAATAAGCAATACCTATTTTTGCACTTGGATTTTATTTTGTTTGGACCACATGGCTGCCCCTTACTTCAATACAGCACATTGGGAATCACAATCTATAAATATCCATAACTCACTCACTAAATAAATTAATAAACAACTTGGACTAATTTGTAATGATAATTTCCTCCCTTATTACTGTTTTCAGCAGCTGAACTGAACTTATTATGGTCAAAGACCAGCACCAAACAACCCCTTATTACTGTTTTCAGCAGTTGAACTGAACTTATTATAGTCAAAGACCAGCACCAAACAAACCGGACAGTACACAACAATTCTACTTTCAACATAGAGATGGCAAAGAGAGTAACAAAAACGCTGTATTATAGCTATACCAAACAATTTTCTTTTTCCGCTTGCCCTCTATTTGTACATTTACTCCTTACAGAAACTGCGACTTCGGAAAAAAAAATATTGGAGATTAACTGCAATGTGTTCCAACACCTAACTCTGCCATAATGGAAAGTTTGGAGAAACTTTGCTCGTGAGTAGCTTTGCCTATCCTAGCCCCGTTCCTTGAGTGTGAGCAATTCTAAAACCTAGGGTGGTTGTGAAACCCTTGCGTCGCGATGCTGCGGAAGAAATTGCGAGAGTTTGGCATTTTTTCTGTTTCTCCCTCTCGGGGGAAGGTTCCAAAAGGAAACGTCGGCTCCTCGATCTTCGTTTGGACCAGATCACAAGGAAGAGAGGGGGCCCCTTTAGAAGTCCCCCTGGTTCTTCCAGCAGTTGCGGGAGCGGGACTTCCCACGACAAGGCTGGAGGCGGGGCGCATCCAGGCCAGCCGCCCCGGCTCCAGATGTTTGGATGGCCCCGCACTCCCAGGCGCCGTTCCGCAGCTGCAACCCCACGCCGGGCCCAAACGAGCGCCTTCCCCGACGCCGGGGAGGGGGTGGCCACTCACCCTTTCACCACGAAGAACGGGTCCTCCAGAGACATCGTCCTGCCAGGGAAGCGCCTTCCGAGGGAGGCTCCTCGCCGGCCAAATCGCGGAGGAGGCGCGAACCCTCGGAAATCTAGGGCGAGGGCAGGGCGCCCGGCCCCCGTCCTCCCTCCCTCCCTCTCGGGGTTGGGGCCGCCCCGTTTACGTCGGGGGGGGCTGTCTCAGTTCTGAGAACAGCCGGGGACTCTGCAAAAAGGCGCCTTTTCGAAGAAAGAGGAACGGGGAGGAGCCCGAGCGGCGGAGGAAAGCGAGCCTGGAATTCCCGAGCAGCGAAAGCAAGAGGCCGCCCTCGCGGAACGTTTGAGCGCCCCTGCTTTAAAAGAGAGATCCGTGTTTGGAGTGGGCGGGCGGCGGCTCTTTGCCTTGCCTCTCCTCTCCCCCCCCCCC